TTTTTCACATTCTGTCTCTCACAGTTGAAGTGCACCTCTGGTGCAAATTACTGACCTCTGTCATCATTTTATGTGGGGGAACTTGCACAATCGGTGGCTGACTAAATACTTTTTTGCCCCACTGTATGTCAACACATATATTGTTGTCCAGGAGCAGGAGAAGCAGAGGAGTATTGAGAAGAAAAAAGAGGAAGTGGAAAAGAAGGGTTTAGAGAGGAAGAAAGAAGAGGTGGATGAGGTGCAGAAACTCCAGGTGAAGCTGAAACAAGAGCAACAACGTTGGGACAAAGAATGTCTGGCCAGAGAGAAACAACAGGTTAGCTTCATGCTCGTGTTCTTTAAAAGTGATTTTATGTTTCTCAGTCACTTGTCTTTCTGGTCTCTCTGTCTTTGTTTCATAATAGTTTGGTGGGGCACAAAAAAGCTCGGTTTAGTTATGAGTCTACGCCAATGACTGCAGAAAACAGTCATTGGTCTACGCCCATTTCTTTGATCTTTACCAGGTTATAAATAGATCACATTTAAGTAAAGCAAACAAAAGCAAACTGCAGTGCTAGATGAGACACTAGACTCTTGATAAATAAAATACATTTTACATTTTCTATAATTACTTCAAATTTCAGTAACAAAAACTGGAAACATGTCATATACGAGCAAAATGTGTGACCTGTGAATTTCTTTTTCAAGATAAGATATTTTTAAACATGTGTTGTAACCTCATTTTCATAGCTGCATGTGCATCTGCCATTTTCTGTTATCTTATTCAATTTCCTGTGCTGCTGTTGCCATGGTTATATTTTACTAAGTGCTAATATGGAACAGGTCAAAAAGGCTGTTACCTGCTTTCAAAACCTCAACTTAAAACCCAAGTTGTGGTTAAAGTGCTTAAGTTTCAAATATAGTATTAATCTTTAGACCTAAGCAACGTATGAAGTCTGTTACAACAGTAGAATAATAAGCCTTGCATGCTTACAGAGTGAACAGGAGACTTTGCTGGAGCAGCGGGAGCAGCAGTGTCTTCTGGAAGCTGAGCGGCTGCGCTGTGAGCGTGAGGAGCTGGAGGCCCAGCTGCTGGAGTACCAGCAAAATCTGGACAGACTGAGGGAGGGTCAGAGGAGTGTAGAGAGGGAGAAGGAGAAGATCGAAGCGCAACAGAGACTGCTCCAGAGCTGGAGACATAGCCGCCAGAGCAGCCTGCCTGTTATGATTCCACTGGGTGAATACAAGGTAATTCAGGAAGCGGGAGATGATACAAGAAAGTGCATTAATGCAGGGGATAAAAGTACAGAAAGATTCAAGTAACAAAATAGATAAATACATAAATAAATGAAAACAAAACTAGGAACGATAGAAAAAATAAAGCCAAAAGAATTTGTCACCTCTCCTTCTATTTCATGTCATTTTGATGTCCTAGGGGTCTACCCACAGCCGCTCAGGGAGCCTGGATGGCAACAGTTCAGTGTACAAGAATGAGGCAGCTTTGCTCACCTCACTCCAACAGAACCACCTCCACCAGCCCACCAACAACAACCAGCACCAGCATCCTCTCTCCATGCCAAGAAAAAACCACGAAGACCCCCTGCACAGTTCCACCTATTCGACCAACCTCGGCCTCAGTGCCAGCCTCTACAACAGCCTCAACACCCTGCTGAGCCAGACACACAGCAAACAGCCGCTGGATGGCATGACATACCCGAGCTACAGTAACAGTCATGACTGTCCTCAGGCCCTGAATGACTCCATCCACCCCTTTGGCAGCAGGATCACTACACACTCACAGGAGACCAACACTTGTAAGACTACTTACTATATATAAAGCATGGTAGAAAGTGCATGCCTTTTTAAATGAGTATTGTACATATTATGCTTTTTCCAGCCCTCATAAACAACATCTTTGTGTTGACAGTTGAAAGTGATTCTTTTGACTTCCTGCAGTGGGTGTCTGGACCCACACAGGAACGTGGACACACACTGGACCCTGATCTGTGGCACTGTATGTGTCTCATTTGACATTGCCTTGCTCTGTAGCTCTATTAAACCTCATGTTCCTGCGAGGTGCTGTGATATTATTAACCCATCCACTGCTGTGCATTTCTCTGCTTATTTCAATCAGAACTCTTGAATTCCTAAGTCTGTGTCTTTAGATACAGAGAAGCTCCGCTGCTGGATGATGCTGTGGCCTTATTAAAAAGCAGAGACCCCAAAACTAAATCTGAGCCCTGGCTAAATGAAACAACTCATGCCTGTCAGATGTGAATGTCAAAAAGCTGAAGGAAAGTGGGGGAAAAAGGACATGCCTAAAAGCTGCTTTTGACACAGTGAATTATAGTATTTTAAATATTGATTCGCACATTTCTCAAAGAACGTTTTGTGTTAGAACTTGATTTCAGATCTTCCTCTGCTCCTTTGTCTTGTGGGGTTCCGCAGGGCTCGATACTTTAGAAAGCAGAAAATTGCTTTCAATTGTTATGCAGATGATACTCAGATTTATGTGCCCCTAAAACAAAAGGATGTCTACTCCATACAACATGCGACCGTGGCTCAGGGGATTGGGAAGCTCATCTGTAACCCGAAGGTTGCTGGTTCGATCCCTCTGCTCTCTCTGTCCTGGTCGTTGTGTCCTCGGGCAAGACACTTTACCCTACCGCCTACTGGTGTTGGCCAGAAGGGCAGATGGCGCGATATGGCAGCCTCGCTTCTGTCATTCTGCCCCAGGGCAGCTGTGGCTACAACTGTAGCTGCCTCCACCAGTCTGGAGTGAATGAATAGTGGAATTGTAAAGCGCTTTGGGTGCCTAGAAAAGCGCTATATAAATGCAATCCATTATTGTCATACAAACAGCTAAGTGCTTTGAGGAATCAAATGAGTAGATGGCGCTAAACTTCCTAAATTTTAACGAGAATAAGACAGAAGTTGTGTTTGGGCCTTGTATCACTGGTCGGCCTTTTCCTATCGACATAAGCCCGCTGGCACAGTACATAAAGCCCGCTGGCACAGCCTGGGGTTTTAGGATGGACAATCAGATCAGTGCACTGGGATAATCCAGCTTCTTTTAGCTGGTTAAAATGAAAAACATTCTGTCAAAAGATCACTTTGAAACAGTAATCCATGGCTTCATTATGTTTGTGTCCTCTCTGTCCCCTCTTAAGCTGGTGCAAAATGCCCCAGCACGACTTTTAACTGAAACACGAAGAGAGAGCATATTACTCCTGCTTTATCCTCACTGCACTGGCTGCAGACCCATTTTAGAGTACATTTTAATATATATATATTTTTTTTTTTTTGTTGTTTTTAAGTGCTTAAATGGCCTTCCCCCAGCTGACCTCTCTGAGCTGCTGCACTTGCACTCCCCTTCCCGGTCACTCAGATCAGCTCACCAACTGCTCTTGGATGTCCGAGGACACGGCAGCTGCTCATGGGGGCAAGGCTTTTGTTGTAGCAGATCCCAACTTGTAGAGTTGGGAGCTGGAGTAGATGGGCCTCCTCAATCTGAATATTTAAATCTGCTCTTAGGTTCCCTGACTAACTTGTTTTGCCAAACAAAGCACCTCTTTTGTTGGGCATTTGACCCAGTTTGAGATTTTTATTTGATTTAATTTTGTTTAAATTTTTATTTTATTTTATTTTATTTCTACTGTTTTTACTGATGTGTCATGTTGATGTCCTTATTTTGTTTAGTAATTTTTATATACATATATATTTTTCCTTTTTTTTGTATTCTTTAAATTGTATAAATAATACAAAACCACTGACCAAAACTTTGGTGTTTCTAAAGGGCTTTATAAATAAAGTTGGCTTGACTTGACACTTTGTGTTGTTCTTCTTTCAGCAAACTTCAGACCAGTGGTGGACAAACAATCCCCGGATCTGTGGAGGTCAGAGGTCACAGGGCATAGACTTTATGAGGACGGCTTCTCTTCCCCTCACTCTCTTAACCCTCTCCTCCCCCCTCAGGCGTACCTCTCTCTCGAGGGGCAGAATAGGGATGAGGGAGTTGAGGAGAACATTGTTTACCTCTAAAGGTCCATGAGAGAAAAATAAACAATATAGGCCACCAGTTGTATACTGAACAAACAGTAATATGTCTGTTGCTTAAATGTGTGTGTGTGCATATATGTCCATGTAAATATGATGGATTTATGTTCATCTTTTAAAATCGGAGAGATCAAATATAGAGGTAATCACAGGGAGAAAGTATAAACCGACTGTACAGTATGTGCCTTTATCATTGTATGTTGTGAACTTTAACCATTCTCCTCCTGTGTGATCAAACCATTGTGCCTTTTCACAAACAAGCTCTTTGTAAATCAGCTTTTATATTTGTACTTCTCGTGTTTTCACTTCTACCACAAATCTTTTAAGTATCTGTGCACTTGGTTTGCTGACAAAGGTACCTTTGTGCTACAAACCTTTTGACTTCAAATACAAGAAAGTCAGGACAGATTAAAATTGATGTAATTTACGTCTTGAGCACTTAAAATGAAATAAGAATATATGAGAAGCCAATCAACCCCTTTTTTAAACTATATATAGATTATTTCTCCAAGTGATCTTTAATGATATTTATAAGGGATTGTGGGCCTCTACGAGAAATAAAAATAGACCTATATTGTGTATAAATATGAAATACATGTATAGTTTTTCGGAGCGGCTACCTATGCACAATATGTTGAATTGTTTTCTCACTTAAGTGCCAAAAATATATTGCTGTCTGATGCTGTAATGTCTGTGAAGAGAGGGTGTATTTTTTTCCCCCGTTCCTTGAAATTTCAGATAATTTATTGCTTAAAAATTGCTTCATGCACTGTCAACGTTTATAAGATTTTGTTTGAAAATTTGACTTGTAATCTTCATAATCAGAACTGTGTTATCATATTGTGTGTGTATATATATATGTAATATATATGTATATATATATATATATATAAAACTGTTGTGGCAAACATCTGTTTTTGGTGCATTCTTACTTATGTGAAAAACGGCACAGCACCATTGGTTTAACATTTAAACACTCCTCTCTTGACTTCCGATTATACATTACGCAACACTCGCACTTCTACTCATACTAACACTTGCTGCTGACTTACTAGGCTTTCAGTTGGCGTGCTCAGTGAAAAACGGTTCACATGAGAGGATGATAAATGTCAGGAAATCCTTTTTCAGCCTTTTCGGGTTGTATCTGATATTTTCGAACACTGAATGTTGCTTTGACGATGGTAAGCTGGGTTCGTTTATGTTCTTTCTGATCATTTTAAAGTTCTCTCAATATGTCATCTTGATGTGTGCTCAGTCACAGGTGAAGAAATTCCGGGAAGTTGATTCTGTTCATTGTCTAAACAGGACCAACATTCTGGGACCCTGAATGTGTAACTTTACATCCTTCTGTTCTGTCATACGCCAGGCTGTTATCTGCCAAAACCAAACATCACTCTGAAAGCTATTAATGACAAGCAGACCCTTGTGGTGAGCTGGTTGGTAAAACACAGCAGTTTTGTGGGTGACATTTATGAGATCGAGCTCAGCCGCACTGAACAGCACACCGTTATTTACACTGTGAGTATTGAGAGGTGTGTTTTCTGTTTTTAATGCTGTTTAAAAGTCATAGAATACAGTCAGAATGTTACATATAAAAGATAATTTGTATTTTTTCTGCCAGGTCATCACAGAGAAAGACAGAATCTTTTTTTTTTTTTTTCATTACCACCACATTTAATTGATTCTGTAATCCTGCTTTTAAGACCTACCAGTGTTATTATGAACAATTATTTCCTGTTTTTTAACCTAGAAAAATGTGAGCGTATCACCTGGAGTTTCGGCCAAATACACATGGACATGGATCTCTGATCTGCCTCTGGAGTGTGTTGATCACTCTGTCAGAATGCGATACTATAATCAGTCTGACCAGAGTCCTTGGAGCAACTGGATAACCAACTCTGGTAAGATGTTATGCTGATCATTAAATGTCAGCCTACGTGTTTTACTGATGAGGTTAAAAAGCAGCAGTTGTCGTTTTCTTAGGAATGTGTCTAAAAAAAAAAAAAGGAATGAAACGTTTCTCAACCTCTGCAGTAATTGCAAACGTCTCTTTCAACATATATCTTACGCATACAATGCAAATATGTACATGGTTGGGAAATAAGGTGTTGTCTGCAACACTCTTTTTTTTTTAGTTTACTACCTATAAGGGAAGTAAAGTAAAAAAAAAAAAAGTAATAAAAATTAAACTTTTTAAAAATGTTATAGTTTCTGTGGGTCATCAGTCTGGACTCAAGGCAGGGTTGTTGTTTTTTTGTAATAGCCAAGCGAGTCCAACAGCGAGTCTGTTTGGCATTGTCTTGTTGAAATAAGTGAGGCTTTCACTGAAAAAGACATTTCATAGATGCATTTATTACGTATTTATCTTTTAGTTTGTTGGTTATCTACAATTAATCAGGCAAAATGTGACTGAAATGTCGACTCTCAACTTCAGGGTTTACATGAGCTATTATATATATTATTTAAACTGCATTTTGTTGCCTTGTACTTGTGACATGGGCAATGACAATAAAGTTGAATTCTATTCTATTCTACTATATTATACAGCAATTTTTAAATATAATTTCCCGTTTTCAATGACTCAAAAGGAATCGGGCACATTTACTACTGGACACAATTTTAAATATATAGATTTTTGTTAATTCTTGGATGAAAATTATTTGGAGTCAATGACAGCCTGAAGTTTAGAAACCATCACATCACCAAGTGCTGTATGTTCTCCCTCCCACTGTTTACTGCAGTTTGTTGCTTGTTTTTCTGTCTCTGTGACATCCTGTGTCATAAAACTGCTTCTTCCAGCAATCATATCATGTAACACTTACAGTCGTGTCCATGTCATAACATTGCCTTTACCAGGTGGGACAGAATACTTTACTGCGTAAAAACATATTTTTTCTCTTTTCTTTTGTGTTGCTTATCCTTGTGGTCAGACATGTTTGACAGAATACTTTGAGTCAAAAGGTGTTTATTTCTTCTTCTTGGACTCTTTTCTTGGGGGGGAGGGGTTGTTAAGTTATGTAAATTCTAATCGATTTCATCTTTCGTCTAAACAACCATTCTTCCGTTTCTTGGAATCTGTATAGTCCTCAGGTACGACGTCACTCATGAAGTTAAAAGAAATTGCCCATGCCGTATTGCACTAATCCAACCCGATATCAAGGTTCAAGGTTCTTTATTTGTCACATGCATAGTTATACAAGTATAACACACAGTGAAATGTAGCCTGACACGCGCCTCGACATGTGCAAAAATTGGGGGGGGAGTAGAGGAAGAACATTATATATATATATATATATAGCATATACA